GTTCACTTGTAGGGTTTAGGGTTTAGGGTTTAGGGGTTTAGGGTTTAGGGTTTAGGGGTTAGGGCTTAGGGTTTAGGGCTTTAGGGGTTTAGGGTTTAGGGGTTATAAGTAGGGTTGTAAGTATAGTTATAAGTACCCATAGGCCCCTTAGTAGTTCCTTTTGGGGATTACCTAATAGGATCCTAGATAGAAGCCACAAAAAGGAACTACTATGGGCCCTATGGGTAGGGCTAGAAGTAGGGTAATTATAATTATCACCAATATCAGGGGACGTATAACCCCACTTAGAACTACCCATCAACCTCCAAGTGGAGTGGCGGTAGCAGTCTGAGATCCCGGCGTCTTCAGGGTCGGAGAATGCCAGTGGGTCCTCAGGGCTAAAGGATCAGAGCTTTCCCAGGCGTCTTTAAACGAGAATGCCCGCATCACTATCTCCTTCTAAATAATGAGGCTAGCCTTCTTTCGGTACTGTTCTGTCTGAGTGAGGAGGGCTCTGAAAAGCCTTGCCATAAGGTTAATCGCCCCTCGGTGGTGGGGTTACAGGGCTCAAGCTTAATTAACATGTCGCTAAACCCTTGGCCACTGCGGCGTGGAGGATTGGAGATGCTGGGAACATAAACTCTGCATATCTAAAGATCTGTATCTGTAAATTTATGTATATACGTATGTCTATGTGTATGCATATATATATATATATATATACATCTATATATATATATACAGACATATACATCGATAACATAAATACATACATACATACATGCATACATGCATACATACATACATACATACATACATCCATGCATACATACACATGCTTTATGTATTTGTTAAAACCTTAGCAGATCCCATGTCCACAGGGAAGTCCAGGAAAGTGGACCGGATCCGGGCCAACATCGAAGAAGGTTGGTCTGCGCGACCGCTGCAAGTTCGACCAGGAGGGGTGTAAGCCTAAACCCTAAACCCTAAACTCTACACTCTGAACCATTCGGGAACCTGTATGCGACAACCCTACACTCTGAACCATTCCGGAACCAGTCAGCGACGATCCGAAGCCCCGGCCAGAACCGTAAACCCCAACCCCTAAACCCTGTCCCTAAGGGTCCGTGTATTCATATAGAAAGTACGAACCCTACACCCTGAACCCTTAAACCGTAAACCCTGAACCCCATTCGGGCACATGGACCCTTAGGGTGTTAGATGGCCAACTGCGGGATGAGCCCTTGACAAAAACCATCCATCTTCCCCCTATTACTTTGATTATTGCTGTGACTAGTGTTCTTCTTCTTATGGTCATTGCTATGACTACGTTGATGATATAAATCTTGCCCTACCCATGACAAGGAATATACCGTAATTTCCATAGCTTAGGGTCCATAAAGGTAATGCAGGATTTATATCATCAACAGTATGATCCCTATGTAACCGATCCCAAGACTGGACAGGTAAGCCTACATAACAGACAACTTAGAGAATATACTATAGTTATAGATACATGGCAACCTTTAACTTTTCGGGTTCATGTCCTTGTTGCGTGTCTGCAAGGCTCGGAAGATGTTAGCTCCGACCTGGGCGGCATGGGAATCTCGGGGCCCCGAGCTCCAGTTCAGGATGCTTGAAGGTTTAGGGTTTAGGGTTTAGGGATTTAGGGTTTAGGGTTTAGGGATTAAGTTTAGGGTTTAGGGTTCTGGGATTTGAAGTTTAGGGTTTAAGGTTTAGAGTTTATGGCTCAGGATTCGGATGTTTTAGCTTATAGGCTGTAGGCTCAGGGTATAATGACTGGGATAATTCAGCCAGAGTTCTAGCTTCACGGCAAAGACAGCCTGCACATATGCTTACTCCGACAGTCCAACAGGACTCTTGATTGTATCTCGCTCCCTTTACTTAGTAACATTGAGATTCAGGTTCTATACGAAGAGGTTGGAGATTCGCATCTGGGCCTTTCGGCACCATGCTGCTCGTTCATACTGAAACCAGTAGCCGCAGTGATCACGACTAGATTTGAATGTGCAGGCACGCACACACACGCTCTCTCTCTCTCTCTCTATCTACCTATCTATCTATATCTCTCTCTTTCTCTCTCTGTCTCGCTCCCGCCCCTTCTTTTTCTACGTTCGTTTTCATGATGATCACTTGTAGATTGTAGACGCTTGCTGCAGTCGTGGACAACCGGCTTAAAACGCATGAAAGCAAAACAGCAAGAACAGCCGCGTCTCCTTGCACAGCTTGAGAAGCTAGGAGGCAGGCCATGCTGACGACATCTTGCCTCGGCGGTCTGTCTCAGCGACTCAGCGATCTTTATCTGAAACCTTAAGCCTTACACCGTCAGCCTTAAATCCTCTACCCTAAACCCTAAGCTTTACCCATAGGCCCCTGAGTAGTTCCTTGTTGGGATTACCTTATAGCATTCTAAATACGGACCCCACAAAGGAACTACTATGGGGCCTCTGGGTAGCGCCTTAATATTCGGATCCAGCTTCAAACCCTAAACCCTAAACCCTAAACCCTAAACCCTAAACCCCAAAAGAAGACCCCAGGCCCGACCACGTAAATATGGCCAAGCCATAAACCCTAAACATGTGGCCAGCCGGTTTAGGGGTTGCGGGTTTAGGGTTTAGGGTTTAGGGTTTAGGGTTTTTTTTTAAAGTGCAATGCGCCCCTTTTCTGTGCAGAGAGGGCACTCCCCGTTTACGGAGGTGCACTGGTAGAAACAAAAAGCGAGCTTCCACCCTCAGGGCCAATATAACCCCACAGAGCGAACTAGCAACTTGCAAAAGTGTTACCTGCAGCAACTGCTAGTCTTCACGTCACCTCAGTAAGGCAGGCACAAAGACATCCCGAGGAAGTGCAAGCATTTCAGCACTCAGTCACTCCCAGGTACTTCAGGCCAACAGGGCGGGCTGCGACTACGCTCAGGTCGACAGACATCCCTATCATGCATCAGCTCACATCCCACTCGGTCAAGGCAGGGCTGAGGTACCGGTAGAACAGCTTGAAGATCAGCAGGACTTGCAACAGCAGCTTCATCTCCGTCACCAGGAGTAGGCGGCACAACAGCTAAGCCACGGTTGTCACCATCCCCATCCTCATTCGCAGAGCCCAGCCCAAGCGGAGCCACAGCATCAACGCCAGAGCCAGTTCCATCCGGCACCGCCCCAGCTAGTAGATGTAGAGGAAGTACATCTGGTTGTAGCCAGGCCTGGACGAAGCAATGTTCCATTCGCTCCAAGCATCCGCGGGCCACAGCCAAGACCAATCTTCTGTTCGCCCCGATGAGTTCACCACGGACCCCTTCTGCCGGCAGGTGAACTCCGTCACGAGAGCGGCTGTTAAGCACAGTCTGGAGACATCCCAACAGGTCTCGCGCCTCCGCAAAGGCATGACCAGTGAGCCCCAACAACCATCTTTCTTCTGCCAAGGTACAGGGCATAGGGTCCGACCCCACATCCCCCAGAAGCGACTCGAGCTCCCCGATGACTTCACTGCCCACTCCCTGTTCACGAAGAGCCTCCACTTCGTACATGTTGAGACGCTGCATCATCATGACCTCGTCATGTCCATCTTCTGGTGACGTGGACTCAACGAAGTTCGTCCCTTCGACACAACTTTTTCTTCCCACTGCAGACGCCGACCCACCATCGACACAGGCCACACTGGTAGAGGCAGTTGGCGACAAGGTAGGGCAGGGAGACGAAGTGCACGTTGTCGGCAAAGTGGTGCAGGAAGTCGATGAAGTAGTCGAAGTCGTCCTCGTAGAAGATGCAGCCGTCATAGCCAACGTGGTAGATATGCTTGTGGGACGTCCCAGACCATCCTCATCATCTTCGCCTGCAGAGGAAGGAGGCTCATTTGTACCCCATTCTGAAGGCGGAGCCGCCCCACTGCCAGCAGCAACATCCCGGAGGCGAGCTTGGTCTCGGCATTCTCGGTCAAAAGCGGTCCTCGGTGTCCTGTCCCGCCCCCTGCTGTCTCCCGAAGCCTCTTCTTGTCGACGAAGACGCTCGCTCAGAGTCTCCGCCCCAGGTTCACACGGAACCCAGCGACTTGGATTGCGTCGTGGCGGCCGACGCTGTTCTTGGAGACGTGCTGGAAGTTCTTCCGGTGCGACCCATGCATCATCCAACCCCTGGTTGTAGCACTGGAGGAACGTCCCGGCCAAGACAGCACCCGGTCTACGGCAGCGCGCCAGCAAACGACCCCGTTCAGCATCATCAGCTGGAAGATGGATGCCTCCATCCACAACACGGTCTTCCAAGATAGCGACCACCTCATTTAGAAGACGCATCGCCCGCCGCAGAGCTCGGCACATGACCGCCAGCGACCACATAGACTGCGCCCTGACATGCTGTGGAACATTAGGATCATTGACTCTGCGCCCCAACTCCGCCAGGTAGAGGTCGAGCTCACCTATATCAGCTCCATGCACCCCTTCGTTGACTAGGTCCTGGAACTCCCGCATGTTAAGGTGCTGCACAAAGCTCTGGACGTCCGTGTCTTCGGCCTCATCATCCGCAGTGCGACCCATTGCCCTCCCACTGCGCGAGCGGCTTCTGCTGCGGCTGGTAGGGTTTAGGGTTTAGGGTGTAGGGTTAGGGGTTTAGGGTGTAGGGTTTAAGGCTTCGGGTTCAGTGTTTAGGGGTTGGGCTGTAGTTTTTGGTGTTTCGGCGTCAAGGGGTTAAGCTTTAGGGGTGATTGCCAAGTTCACTGGGCCCGAACACGAAGCTACGCCGAGTTTTTTCGTCAGGTCCAAAACCCAACCTGCAGATCCGATGTTTGGGGTATAAAGATGTCTGTAAGGCCTTGATATAGTGGCCTTAAGGTTGTTTTGGTATATTCTACAAGATGAGATCCTGTAAGGAACCCCATTCAAATTCAGGCTCTTAGCTTACTTCTGAGGTCCCTAGTCACTATGTTCACGTGCATTTGAGTGCCCAGTATAAATGTGGCACGCACCAACCACCGACACTGCCGATCGAACTCGCTTTGGTCGCATCGCCTTCGGCCACCGCAGCTGCCTCCAAATTCGCGATGAGCGCCTGCCTTCTTTCCCCGAGCTTGTCGGCCAACGTGGGGGTGCCCAAATCTGCATGTGGCACCTCCCGCGGGATGCGCCCCTAAACCCTAAACCCTAAACCCTAAAACCTAAACCCTAAACCCTAAACCCATCCGCATGCTTAGGCCTCGCCCCTCGGACACGGCTCCGACAAAGCCCCACGACACCGTCCTTGGCCACCTACCTATAGTCTCCATTGTAGTTCCTTTTTGGGGGTTAGGGGTTAAGGGTTTAGGGTTTAGGGTTTAGGGTTCACCTACCTATAGTCTCCATTGTAGTTCCTTTTTGGGGGTACCTTATAAAATCCACAAAATCTAGTTGGTTGAACCAAAAAAAGGAACTACAATGGAGACTATAGGTAGGCCGTAGCGGCACCAGTCCGATGTCCCGGAGACCTTGGAAAGGGGCCAGGCGGAGCACCGAAGCTTAGGGTTTAGGGTTTAGG